CATTTCATGGCTTCCTGATTGTGAGTATCAGAAAATGTCTTGTTTACTCATATCCGATGCTTTCTTACAATCTTCTATAATTAAAACCCCACCATATATTTTTGGCAGCCTAGTTGCAGTCCATAACAACTTGTTTTGTTGGATCAACCAAATATCTTCCTTTTTGATTTGGTTTTTGGGTAGAATATTCATGTCGTTGGCATTTTTGGAGAGTAGTAGGACCCTTTGATGCAGCAGATTTGGCAACTATTTAGCTGTATATATATATATATATTTTAATGTCTAATTTATTATTTCATTTTTCATTTAAGTCAAGAGCTATATAAACGGATAATAATATGATCTATCTTAAACCAATATATTGAATCAATCTAAAAAGAAGAAAAGAGAAGAGAAGAAGAAGAATATAGAGAGAACCAAAATCGATTGAGCAACGAGAATTAGGGTTTACAATGAAAATAAATATAGCTTTTATACTACTACAAGGAAACCTAAAAATAATAGGAAACCTAAAAAAAGGAAATTAAATATTTTGCAAAAGAAAATAAATATAAATTTGTATATTAAACCCCCCCCTCCTCAAACTCATGATGCTAAAGCAAGAAATAGTGAGAGTTTCTCACACAAGAAGCGAAAACGATGAACCGGATGAGACTTAGTGAAGAAGTTTACAAGCTACAACGATGAAGAAATAAAGGGTAGGAAAATGGTGCCAGTTTGCAGATGATGATGAACTAGATGACAATCAATCTCAATATGTTTTGTGCATTTGTGGAACACAGAGTTGTGAGAGATTTAAATAGCACTAATATTATCACAATACATGGGAGTTGGGGAAGAATGAGAAACACCCATGTCTGCAAGTAACCATCGCAACCACACAATCTTAATGGTAGTGGATGTCATAACTCGATACTCTGCTTCTATAAAGGAACAAGAAACAATAGTCTGCTTCTTACTTTTCCAAGAGATAAGAGAATCACCCAAAAATACATAAAAACCAATAGTGGACTTGCGATCAATGGGGTCGTTGGCCCGATCAACATCAGAGTAGGCACGGAACAATAAGGATGAGGTTGATGGAAACAACAAACTCTAAAAGCATGTACCACAAAAATAACGCAAAATACGAACAACTGCTACCCAATGAACTGTAGTAGGAGCTGAAACAAATTGAATAACAATGTGAACATCATAAGCAATATCAGGACGTGTGATGGTAAGATAAACTAGACATCCAACAATAGTGTGATACAAATTGGGATCAGTTAATGGTACACCGTCAGAGGATGAATATCGAGCGTTGGACTCAAGAGGAGTATCATCAATTTTAGTATTAGTAAGACGGGCATGCTCAATAACATCTATAATATACTTGGACTGAGAGATAAAATAACCTCTAGGAGAACAACCAACTTAGATCCCCAAAAAATAAGATAGTGTACCCAAGTCCTTCATTTCAAAACGATAAGGCAATTCTAATTTCAAACCTGCAACTCCATCAACATCACCACCAGTAATAATCATATAGTCAACATGTAGCAATAATAGAATGTGACTAGCTGAAGTGCATCTAAAGAATAAAGCGGAGTCATGATGACTAGATATAAAACCAAGAGAGCTAACAACAGTGGAAAATTTCTCAAACCAGGCATAAGGTGCTTGTTTGAGGCCATAAAGTGCCTTCTTGAGTTTACAAATAAATCCAGGAGAGTGAGAAAGACCAGGAGGACCATCCAAACCTCTTCTTGAAGATTTCCATTTAAAAATGCATTTTTGATGTCCAATTGAGAGAGACTCTACTGACGAACAGATGCAATTACAATAAGTGTATGAATAGTGGTCATCTTGGCAACAAGAGCAAAAGTCTCCTCATAATCCAAACCACACTGTTGATTAAAACTTTTAGCAACTAATCTAGCCTTGTGCATTTAATCGAACCGTCTGATTTGGTTTTAATCTTATAAACCCAACGACAACTGATAGCATGTTTACCTGAAGGCAATTCAACCAAATCCCAATTAATTGTCTTGTGCAAAGTAAAAAGTTCATCAGCCATAACTTGTTGCCAAAGAGGATCCAAAATAGGTTCTTTATAGGAAGATGGTTCAACTAACTTATGAATGGATGTTAGAAAACAACAAAATGACTCAGAATAATAAGAATAATCAAAATCAGATAACTAAGTGGACTTACGAATACATTGAGAATAACGAGGAAGAGATGAAACAGGAGTTGGATTAACAATCTCAAGCGGTACTTGGTAAGCCTTAGAAGGAGGAGGGGTAGCATGATCTGAAGCATGTGTACCTGCAGGATATGAAGAATCAACAGTACATGGAGTATGGAAAGGTGGATTGTTTATATCATCAGAGAATGGATCAATATGAATGAGGTCAGTTTTAGTCACATTATGAGTATTATCAGAAATAGAGAAGAACGGAATGTGCTTAAAAAACACGATATGATGAGAAACATATAATTTATTATTAATGGGATCGAAACAGCAATAACCCTTTTGCCCTTACCCATAACCCAAAAAAACACAAATAGCAGAGCGAGATGTCAACTTATTATGTTCTTCAGGACGAAGAACAAAGCAAGTACAACCAAAGACTCTTAACGAGGAGTAATCCGGAGGATTTCCATACAATATTTTAAAGGGTGATAAACATGAATTATGGTAAGATGGAATCTTATTAATTAAAGAAACAGAAGTAAAAGCTTCTTCTCCCCAAAACTCACTGGGAACTTTGGCAGACAAAAGAAGTGAACTAGCAGTTTCCACAATGTGTATATGCTTTCGTTCAACAACACAATTTTGTTGTGGGGTATTAGTAAAAGAGATTTGATGAATTGTGCCGTCAAGAGCAAGTAATTTAGAGAATTCAGATGAAGTATACTCACCACCAAAGTCACATTTAAAGCATTTAATTACAGTTGAATGTTGAATTTTAATAAGTGCTCTAAAGCATCGATAAATAGAAAGAAGTCAGATTGTCGCTTCATAAGATAAACCCAACAATAATAACTATAATCATCAATAAAGGACACATAATATCGAAACCCTCCTTTTGTAGCAACAAGAGCAGGTCCCCATATATTAGAGTGAACAAGATCAAATGGTGCAATAGAATGAGAAATGCTTAGATAAAAAGAAAAAACAGAAAATTTTGCTAATTTGCAACCACTACAATCAGAAATATCATGAGTTTGTATATTTCCCAATCGACCTTTAGAAACTAAAAATTTTCAAACGACTAGCAAAAACATGTCCAAGGCAAGAATGCTACAAATAAAAATTAGAAGACGATGAATTCAAAGAAAAAGATGACAAATGAACACCAGAGGCTACAATGTGTGGTGGTCTTAAATTGTCCAGAACATATAACCTCTTTGTCTATGGTCTATCCCAATCAGCTTCTGAGATTGAGGATCCTGCACATGACAACCAGTAGAAAAAAAACTGAACTAAGTATCCAGAATCACACAAATGACCAATAGAAATAAGATTCAAAGCAAGAGCTAGAACACAATAGACATTCGAAAGTGACAAATTATGTGTATTAACTGAACCAACACCTACTCAAGATAATGGTGTACCATCAGCAGACATAACAGACATAGACGAGTTAAAGGGACGCAAGTCATTAAAGAATGAATGGTTTGAAATTGTGACCACAATTTTTTCTATTATTAATCAAAGACATCAGATTTTTCTTCAAATGTTCATGTATTTATCTTTGATCTATAATGATTAACACCAAATTCTTATACTTCCGCTACATCACCTTGTATCATATATTACGAGTTTTGCAACTTTCATTTTTATTCAAATTTAAAATCCCTGAAAGTAATGATAGTTCTTTTAAATTGAATACATCAAAATAATTTCTTTATACTGTTAAACATTGCTATAGTTCAAGATGACTTGTACAAACGTAACTCACGACACAAGAAAATAAAACACTTTGAATCTTAAAATATGTTTGACTAAGGTTTATACATTATTTATAATTAATCAAATTGTTTTCCATTCACATATTTTGTGAAATCCGTGCATACGACTCACTTATGATTTATCAATCATTCAATTTTATTTATTTATAATTGTAAACACTTTTCAAAACATGAATCACATTTAAGAGATAGAGATGGTGACATGCAATACCACATCAATAAATTGTTAAACGCTGCTATTGTTCAAGATGACGTGTACATATGCAAATCACATGACACAAAATTTTAAACATTTTGAATCTTAAAATATGTTTGACTAAGATTTAAAAGTTGTTATAATTAATCAAATTATTTTTTATTCACATTTTACGGGATTAATGAATACTACTCACTTATAATTTATTTGCCATTCATTTTATTTGTTTATAATTTAAATTATTTGTAAACACTTTCTAAACATGCATATATAGAGTATAAAGTTAAAGAACACAAATCACGTTTCAGAGATGGTGATATGCAACGCCATGTCAATAAATCATTTGTATGGTCAATTCGTTGAGGGTAACAATACTTTATTCATTTTTAGTTGTAATGATTTTTTTAGCACCCGTTTGGTGAGGATTAAATTTATTTTTTGAATTTTGATAAAAGTTGATGAAAATTTAAATATATAATCAAAAAATTGTGAATTCTATAAAATATAATGTTAAAATTAATTATTAATTTGATTTAAATTAAAATCAAAATTTTAGTCGATTTATTGATACTAAAAAGACGAAAAACACAAGATTAGATTTTAGCCCTTGTTTGTTTCCTATTATTTACTCATTAAAATGAAAAATATGAATGTTATTCATCACATCAAGTCATAACATTTGAAAATTTATCTCCTGTATAAAATTTATAATAATTATATTTTTTTATTCTTATTTTTATATTAATGTGGCTCAAACGGACTTAATCTATTTATTGATACTAAAAACACGAAAAACACAAGTAAATACATGTACTTTACTTTTCAAAAAGGCTACTGAGTTTTCTGCACGTGCATCATATGAGCTAATGGTTACTGTTATCAATCCTCCGTTTCTTTCGCACGCGTATAATTGCCTTGTTCCACCCGTTAAATTCCCATACAATTCCATCACCATCCCGACCATTTACGATCATACCTTCTGTTAGCCGGAATCGAGAATTCCGGTGAATTTCCAGCATGCCTTTAGGCGAGTCCTTCGTGCTACCACTCATTCCTCAACCGCCGGAAAAATTCCCTTTCGGACTCAAAGAGGAGTCCGATTTTGATCAAATCGTCTCTCCTGATGGTCTTGTCTCCATCTGCGGTTTCGGTTCTCTTCTCTCCGGTCCGTTAGATCAGACCAATTGAGTTTGTTATTTATTCACTTTATTCTTTCCTTATTAATGAAATTACTATTAAACGTCGCTTGCAAAAAATAAATTGTAGCTAAAAGTAAAATTCAAGTAATTCGGATCAGATGTTGGCTAAATATAATTTTTGGACTGGTGTTTTTATATGTTTGTACAGAGAGGAGCGCGAGGAGTACATTTCCGTACTTGATAAACTTCAGAATGACGAAATTGAGTGGCTTTCGGAGAGTTTTTGCTCATGTTGCTCCGATTTTCTTTGAGCATGGCATTGCTAAACCTGAAACCAAGGTGCTTTCTTAATTTGTTGTTTGGTGTATTAATTTATTGGGGTTAGTCACCAGTGGGCACCGGTTATTTGCTCTGATTATATATTGGCTAAATAGAGTGCTACTGTTCACAGAGGGATGTTTAAATTTGTATTGATGGTTGCTGAGACTATTAAAAAATTTGATAAATTTCTCTATCAACAGCATTTTTGGCACCACTGGATTGGGAATTTAGAAGTGGAATTAAGAAAACTAAACTAGTTAATCTAGTAAAATTTTGATATACTAAGCAGTATTTTCTTGCCTTTTAAAAATGGATGTTTCTGATGATTAGAAATTTTCCGTTTTATCTGAACTTTTCACAGCACTATTAATGATTTGGTAAAGAATCGCAGTTTTTTCCCCTGATGATGCAGTTGTATATTTTTACAGGAGATATCAAGCTTGAGTGTGGAGCCATGTGAAGGTGAAACCCTTGTAGTTACCACTTTTGAGATTCAGAGATCAGAGGTATAACTCATAAGATACTAGTCAGAAGAAAAATTTAAATTTTTTGTGCCTAAGAAACTGTTATTAACCTGTTTCTTGCTTGGCAAAGTTAGATACCAGCCTTTATTGAAAGGGAGCATGAGTTCGAGTTTTTAGCAGTGAGTGATGGCTTACTTATTTCTTAGTTTCCATAACGTTTAACTCACTTTTACATATGTCTGCACATATAACAGATTACGGCACTGGTAAGTTGTAATGCGAGTATTTATTGTTGTGTTTAGGTGATACCAGAAACGTTTAATGGGTTGTTTTATACGACTCCAGCGGTGAGTAAGATTAGACTATTTTGTGGTTGGCTATGATATAATTGACTCTGAAATGAACAATGATCATATCTGGCATTGATGCAGGTATTATGCGCACGTTACAGTGATAAAGAGTATTTTGAAAACAAATGCAAAGGTAATTTTTTTACGTCTTCACGAGCATTTATTTTGTTCATTTTTCATAGGATATCTTGTGCAACTGTGTTTGTGTGCAAATAGGTTCGACCTTGTATTTATAATATTGGATTGAGATGAGCTGCAGGTCAATGTGAAGTTAAGACTATAACCAAGTTTCTTTCTCAACCACAACTTCCATTAATCCAGAAGCTGAGATTATTGGCATAGAATATCTATTGAATGAATTTCCGATATGTTTAGTTGCATTTGCTATTTTATGTGCCATCATTGGATATTGATTATTAATTTTCGAGATATCTGGGACAGGAAGCAAAGAGATTTTCTTTCAGCGGTATGGACGATATGGCATAGACAAGATTTGGGCAGACAATATCTTACCTTGTCGAGTTTATCTCAGGCACTGGTTAGTGCTACTTAGTAACATTTATGTGAATTTATTTTCTTTTCAAATTTTTGATTCTTTGACTATGAATGTACATCCCTCAAGAAGAAGTTGCATTGCAAGAAAGACGATGCTCTAACACTGTTCATAACATGCGCTTAATTGCAATCATTCTCGGTGAAAGCACCCTTTGCTTACACATAGCTGAAAAATGTGTGGAACTACTTTTTGCAGTGTCTTGGCAGCAAAGAACCTTGGTGATCTGGCCTACAATAACTTCTTGGATCATACTTTTCTTGGGGACCGTAAAACGACCATTCGTGAGTACTTGGCTACTACCGGTTCGGGCATAATGGAAGAGGAGCCTCCTGAACTGCTAAAGTACCATTATGGCGGTTGACAATAACTAGCTCTAGAGTAGCACTATTTATATTTGGCACAACTCTAGGTTGAATGGAGAATGAATGAGCAGAAATGCAGAAATCTCTTGTAATAACAGTTAGCTTTGCTTAGATAAAATTCTATAGGTATCTATCGTCAATTTATTTAACCCTGATAGTTTCTGAATGAGAGATCAACCTGTGATTTCAAGTTATTCGTGATCATTTTCATCCCAATTTTCATCTGTTTTGCTGCTGATAAAAGCTTGCATTCTTAGCACGTACTCCAAAATTTATTTTACAAGTTCGCCCGTTTCACTTTTTTTTTTAATTTATTAATAATTATTTATTTAGTATTTTATGTAGTAGTAAATAAATAAATTATTTTTTTGATAAATGAATCATTAAGAATGACAGAAATGAAGAAAATAATTAAACATTATTTATTTGGTGTAATGTGTTGGAGATAATTTTTAGTTTGGTACAATTTGATGCAACAATCATACTACTTGTACAATGAATTTGACAACAAATTTGACCGTGTGTGAGTTGGTAGACATCATATCCATTAATTTGAAAAACTTTTTTTGAATTCTACACTAAACACATTGTCAAACTTATTATACAAATTCCTCGTACAGATAGATTAATTCTTGATGCAAAGCTTATCTCAAATTTTGGTGTAAAGTTGAAAAAAGTCTTAAGAGCTTTTATATTTTCTTTTCTTCAAGTGGAAATTACATAATACTAGGTGTTTAAAGATCCATATTAAAAAATCAGAGATGAAATTTGATTATTCATAAATCAGGTCATTATTTAATATTAATAATATTATTACAAAATGAATTAATCATCTCTCTCTCTCTCTCTCTCTCACATACCATTTAGCCCCCATTTGACCTTCATTACCTGAAAATGAAAATGGGAGGAATAATATTTTTTAGAAAAATGAGCGGTTGAAAAAGAAGGAAAAGTTTTCTATTTACGTGTAATATTATTTTATGGAAGATTATGTGGTTGAAAATAGGAGAGAGAAAAATGGAATGTAATGTAATTGAATTGAATGGGGATCAAACAGGGGCTTATTTTCTTCTCCGGCCACTACACAATTTCTCTCCCTTCCTGTTAATTTTTTCATCACCAGTGCGAATACAAGTGTTGTTGCCAGATTGTCACTTAGATCATTATTCTATCTTCTTCCAATCGTCGCGATGGGCGGCGCTTATCTTCATGTGCAGTGGCTCTCTATTCATAAGCTACACGCGTTGCTTAGAGTGCCGCCCTACAAGATTCTAAGTTGACGATAGCAGGATGGAGATCGGGTCAACATCTAAACGAGTTTTGTCTAGATGGCGAGGTCAACGTGAGGTTGCTAGTGATCTTGATCCCAAAATCAATTGCAACAAGAAGTTTGTAGGTGCACGATTCTTCTCCACCGGTGACAATATGGTTGTGTTTAGGCATGGGCATGGTTCGGGTTGGTTGGTTTTGAGTCCAACTCGAATCCGAAACTAACTTGATTGGTTTGAATAAATTTCAACTTAAATTGATTCAATCAAGTCGTTGAAACCGAGTCAAACCAAGCCTAATTGGTTTGGGTCGGTTTGGAATATGTGCGAGTAAAAAGAAAAAAAATAATTTGTCTACCTATATTCGGTTAAAATATTTGTTTTTTTATACATATAAATTTTTTTCTTGCATAATGCATATAAATAATATATATAATGTAAATGGTAAAGAATCAATTTTTCCAAAATCATCATAAATACAAATTCGATAGTTATCAACAAACAATTACACCAAAATGAAAGCAAGAGTACAATTTAAAATTGAAGTTTTAACACTTCTTGCTTTATTTTCTTTTGATATATATATATATATATATATATATGGTAAACAAATTATTTGAGACAAATTTATCTTTTTGTTTTTATTATTTTGGTTTTTACATTTAAAAAAGATGAATTTTAAAAGACCAAAAATAAAAAAATATTTATTGGTTGTGTCGGTTAATTAATAGGTTGGTTGCTTAAATCGAAATCAACTCAACCTGACTTTTTAATGGTTAAAATTAATTGAACCAAACTAATTCTTTGATTCAAACCAACCCAAACTAACCTAAATCGATTTAGTTTGATTAGCTTGGTCAGTTTTTCGTTATTTATTTTTTTGCCCACCCCTAATCGTGTTTGGGAAATTGTGCTTGGAAAAGTGTGTTTGTGTGATGGATAATTCAGTGCAAGGATGGAGAAGGGTGCAAATGTGGTGGGTTAGTGGGTTTAGATATGATTGGTGGTGGTGGTGAGGTAGTGATTTTTTGGTGATCGAGGTTTTGTGTTGTTATTGTTGGCGGTGGCGGCAACGGGATGAATAGTGTTTGTGATAAGCTATTTTGTTGATTTGTGACCAAGTATTTGTACTGGATCAGTATCGAGATTGGGTGTATGTAATCAACTATTTGGTTATTTGTGACTAAGTATTTGACTGTGACCTTAAAATTCGATAATTTGTGATCAATTTAAAAGTCTGTAATGGACATATAAACTTTAATGTATAATTATTTTATTTTATTTTATTTTATTTTTTTTTTATATTTGTGATCAATGAATTACACTTTGACCTATAAATTTTTTTATTGTGATCAATTAATTTTATAATGTGCGATCAATAAATGAGTTGTGACCTATGATTACGTACTTGTGACCAGTAATTCTATAATTGTGACCTTAATATATTTTATTAATAAAATATTTATAATTAAATAATTGATACCTGATTTTTGAATTTTGAAATTAAAAACTTGAAAATTGAATTGTTCATACTTTTAATGCATGATTTGTGAATTTTTCCCTTTCTTCAAACTGCATTAGTAGACAAGCCAATGTGAGCCATGTGCCTCAAGCCTGAGAAGGTTCATCAGTAAAGCACAACTTTCCCTGTTTGGATGCCCGTTTTTTGAAAATCAATAGTCTCTATTATCGTCGCCATTGTCATCACCGCCGTTGGCCCATTAGTTCAATCCAAAAGGAATAAAAAAAATTCTAGTATTTGAAGGGGAAATGGAAATTAAAAGAACTAGAGTTGGGGAATCGAAGAAGAAATATATTAAGATTTGGAGTTACATCTTAAATGGTTAACCCCATTAAGAGCAGTAATCCAAATTTTTATAAATTGGTCTATATTTTTATTTTTATTCGATGTGAAATTTTTATCCCTTAACATTTCATCGTAAGATGGTGACTCGTTCAAACAGACAAATTTTAAAATCCGTGCATTCAAACTCTTATAAGTTGGTCTATGTTTCACTTTTATTTGATGTGAATTTATTTATTTATTTTTTTTTTTTTAACAAAATAACTTTGATTACAGTAATCTACTTTATATGCAAATGCTTTCCAAGCTATAGATACAAATACTGTACATCTATGCTGTACAAATGTGCGTATGAGAGAGGAGAGAGATTTGAAGGGTGTCAAGAATAAAAACAGCCTAATGCTAAACGCCAGAAAGTTGATAAATGACTGTATACGGTTTTATCGTAGACAAGCAGTCTCTCTCTCTCTTGAAGCGACATTTTCCCCCCCGAACCAAATCGTAATAGACTGAATTTGAGCAAATTCGAAGAAAGTGGTTCAATTCAGTTCTTAAATTAAATTGGGTAATGAATATAAGTATCGAGATTTTTTGGTTCAACTCTCGATTCTAGATTCAAAATCGAATCGAAAAATTGAACTTCCCAAAATTTATTTTGATAATTGAACTTGCCAAATTATTTCACTTGAAGCAAATTCATCTATATTTTACTAATTTACTTATTGGTCATTTATATATATGGTGAATAAATATTATTAGACAAGTTGCTCTTGTTTTTAAAGTTGACTATGTTTGTCATTTAGTAAGATGGTACATATCATTTGTTAAATTATTATGTTGTTCCAAACATTAGGAGAATGGAATAGTTGTCGAAATTATGAGAAATTGAAATTTTAATTATGGTATAGAATCTAACAAAACTAAACGTCTTGATTTCAAAAATAAACTTGGACCTTACGGCTCCATTTATAAAATATCTAGTAATTCTTGATTCGATTATATTCTTTTTGGAATAAGAGCGTGTTCACCCCTAACTAGGATCATACTATTTGGGTACTTGATAGGATCGTTCGATCAAAATCACTTTACATCAAATTCTAAATTGCTCAAGTCATTACACTTTGGACGTTGAGAATGTCCAATTACTCTATTTCTTATTCTTACCCACTAGCATATGAAATATTATAATTTGAGTAAATAGTCATAAAATGTGTTCATATAGAATTGTCCTAACTCAAGCTTTTAATTATTTATTTTTTTTTTTTTCATTTATAAAATCTCGTTTGCCCACCTAGTGCATATTTACTACATCCACTTTCTTATCAATGTTCAGTATATCTCGTTTAAAAATTAACGCCTTGTATTTCGGTTCATCTTTTATCCTTACCACTTAAACGCCGCTCACCCCGAACTTGATTTATTCTTCTCCTTCCCCTTCTTTCTTGTCATGTCCCTTCTTTTGTTAAGAAAATTATAAATGAAATTGTTCGTGAGAAACCTGCAAACTTACTAGATCGTTGACAAGTAATAAAATTGATGAGTTGAGAGTATCATCCCACGAGAAATAAATTTAATTCAAATTTATCAGTTACGTATGGAAGTCGAATTACATAAACAAAAAAGAATTTGATTTTCTAATTATTCTAAATTAATCTAATAAAGCAATAAAAGTTTGTCTTTATCAAACTATGGATGATGGATGATTGTATTGGATCTCGAATTCACCTATTGCAACCTATTACTATTCTTGATTCATAATCTAGTTTCATTCATGCGTGCGTTCATAGCAATCGATAAAGCTAATTTATTTAACTTTGTTTTTAAGACAAATTAATTATATCTTAACCACGACTCGAATCTATTCATAGTCCGAAATTAAATGGTTAAAATGCATTAAATTTTAGATTATCTATATAATTTCACACGTGATAAATTCTATTCCTAACATCTATTGCATATATGTTAATTTTGCCGCGTTTTTAAACTTATTGTAAGTTTCCCAATATTACAACAGTCAAAAGCAACTAATTATCTAATTGGTGGCCAAATAATTAAATAATGCAATGGGTATGCAAAAATCAATCAAGAAACGCAAGAAGTACTTAACTACTAGTTTTGAATAAAAGTAAATA